TCTGGGACCTTCCATTACAGCTCTATGTTTGATTGTACCTAAACTACATTAAAGCTGCTTCTTTTAAAGACTTGCATCCAGAACTTTTCCAGAAGAGCTAGCATGCCTATTCAGCCTTTCAGACCATCACAGTCAAGATGTCAGCTAAGCAATGAACTTTCTCCACACATAGTGACTGGAAGGCAAATGATTCACACTAGCTCTCCTTTGACAAAGCCAATTTTCCTATTTCCCTTTGGGCCTCCTGAAGGGAATTCTTTGCCCCAGTTCAGCTGGAAGCAGGCAAAAGAAGATCATCCTTATGTTGGGGTGGATGGTTCCGGTTATTTTATGAATTATAGATATGTGTCATTTAAGGGATGCTTTACAAATGTAGCTTTGGACAGGGAGGGAACTAGAGAGCTTAAACTCAGGGATTTCTACCTTTCCTTTCCTCTTCTCTATCCTTCCTTCTTAGATAAAGGGGAAGCAGGTGGAAGAGAAAGGGGAGATACAGTAATACCATAGAAGTTATAAAAATAGACAAATAGGGATAGATTATCAATTTACTCTTAAACAAAACATTACATAGCTATATCTTACATTGGTAGAAATCTTTATAATTGATACAAAGTTGAGGTTATAATCTCTTACGTTGGTACAGAATTTATTTGATACAAATTTAAAGTTTTCATTGGTGTGAATTTCTTATTGATATAAAATTGGGGCTAATATTGTTACTCTCATATAGGCATTGTGTCTATACAACACATTTAAGAATGCAAGGCTTAGAGACCCAGTCCTTCTATAACTGGTATTATAAAGTGTATACATGATTATATGATTAAGCAATACAAATTAAGGGCCAGAAAGCAAACTTATGGTTCTGAGTTATTTAAAAGGATGTTTTTGAGATATTTCAAGTAGAATTGGCAGAGAGTAGTCAAGTCTTAACAGTTAAGAAATGCTTTACATATATAGATAGTCTTCAAAGGTATCAGAAGTCCACAGAATATGATGTTTATGGACATTCCTTTATTAAAGATCATTTGACTAGAGACCTGTCTGCAACTGACAGCACCCCTTTCTTGGTTCAAAGAAGAAATTGAGCATCAGTGGAGTTGCTCCAGTTGTGGCGATACAGCCACTAGGCAAGAATTGCCTCAATTCATCTACAGACAAAATACTGTCCAGAAAAAGGACACACTATGTGGACTAGTCGACTGAAAATCTCTGCCAAGATAGGGTAATCAGTCCTTCAAAATTCTGTGTTACAAAGGTCTGTCAGATTATCCTAGGCCAGAAGGCTGAAGACTGATGCTCCAACATTTTGAAGAGTAAGGGACTGTCCAGTTGATCAGCTACCTCTATAAATTGGCTAAATTTTGGAAGCTATATTTTGTGCTTCTCATATTGTCAGGTAAATATTAGTTATCCTTGGATTTCTGGTGGGGTTGAAGACTAGTTGTAGTCTCATAGCCAACCCAAGCTGTTGAGAAAGATGAAATAGATTTGAGAGGATGGTTTTCAGATGGCATACAGCTTAAAACCAGGACATAAGTCAAGTGTAGAATTATGTCTTTTAAGTTAGGATAGATGGCAGGGTGCTTTATTTAATCAACAAAATTGATGGACTGGGTGTTTTGTGTATCTTATATCTTATAAATTGTAGAATGGTAATAGTTGTATTCAATTTATATCTGAGAGAAAAGAGCCTTTTAATTGGACAAAAAGGGGGAAATGTGGATTGCCCTACTGCTGTTTATATTTTGATGCTAATTACACTTTCCCAAGACGGGCTGCCTAGGACATGGAGTGAATCAAATACTGGCAAGAGCTAGTGATTGGGAAACCACAAGTTATAAGGGATCTCATAGCTGGAGAATATAGTAGTGTAGTGGTAGATCTGCCCAATCTAGGCGCACAGCTTGTATTCATATTAATTGTGTTTTCCTTGCACGGGCTTATTTGGGTTGGAGATTTACAGCAACACAAACCAACCTACAAAAGTTGTCCTCTGACCTCTACCCAAGTGCCATGGTATAGGTCCCTGCACCAAATAAATAAACACATGCTTCATAAAACAAACAAACAGACAACAAATGTAAGCAACTGGGATGGAGGTACAGGCCTATAATCCAAGCACTGGGGAGCTTGGAGTAAGAGGATTCAAAGTTCAAGGTCATTCTTTGCTACAGTATCTTCGGGCTGAATGTTTTGAAGGTAGCCTCCTTGAAGTTTTCACCCCTGGGGGAACTAACCATATTGAGGAACTAGCCCCTGCACTGAAGATTCACAAGTGACACACTGATGTTTCTCAGGCTAGATGCATACTTGTTCCTAAAAGCTCTGCTCACCCTGCCACCCTGCAGAAACAGCAAGATTCTCAAATTCCCTCCTCTGTCTTCTCCAAGTCTAGAACTAGTTTTAAGCATTCAGCTTGCAGCTTCCTTCTGAACATAGAAGAATCAAGTCTTTCCACTCACAAATATAGATTGTTTCCAATTTGCTTCCCTCCTTCCCTCCTTCTCAACAATACAGGAGAGTTAGTGTTGTGAAGGCAGCTGGATTTTCGAATTAGAGCCAAATGCCAATACTTAGACAATTTCTTCTAATGTTTTTGCCATTAAACAAATTCACTTGCTTTTAAAACATTTATACACTGGGGATAATAAAATAGACTTAAATGTGAAAACAAAAAGCAAAACAATACAAAACAAAACAAAAAAAAACTGTGCTGAGGTTTTGTACTGGCTATTGTAATGTTAAGCTGCAGGAGGTAGGGGTGAGGGGTCAAGATCTGGAGTCTGCACGTAGCCCCTGGATCCCTGCCCACAAGTTAATTCTTATTCATGAATAAAGATGATGACAGCCAATAGCTGGGTAGAAGACACCTAGGTGAGTTTAAGTTTCCCAGGTTTGAGACCAGAAAGAGGGAAAAAAGGAGCAGTCATGAAAAGAATGTGCAGGAGAGGAGAAAGGAGAGCCACCATGAGTTGGCTGAACTATAAAAACATGGTCCTGTGGGCTGGCCAATTGAAGTTAAGAGCAGTCCAGATGAAACACAGTAAGTAATAACTTGGGTTAACAACTGGAAGGTAAATTCTAACAATATGGAGGGTAGACATTGCCCTGCCTTTGTGCTGACTAAAGCATATTTAAAAATATAAAGACTGTGTCTTTCATCCAAGAACATAAATAGTCAAAGGCAGGTAGAAACCCAGCACTGGGAATTTTAATAATGTTTACTACAAACCAGTGCATGGCAGTGTTGGCATGGTGGCTCAACATGACTCTCATTCGGCATCTCAACTCTGTCCGTAGTTGCTTAGAGTCCTACAATTAATTCTTCATGAAATTTCACTGTTTGTCAGTCCAGTGGCACCTCTACCTGGAATACTGAGTAAATTTGTGTACATGTAGGCAACTATGTATGTGTATGTGACAACTATGTAAATCACTACTGGAGCTTAATGCCTAAATTTCTATTTCAAGCTTGATGACCATACTCCCCAGTATATCTAAAGAGATATAATTTCTGAAGAGAATGTGGTGAGCGCATCGAAGAGAGAGTGGGAAAAGTAGAGGGAACAAAAACAGCCCCTCTGACCAGTGTCTGTCCTACGATCTGGCAAGATGGGTGGGTCCAACTTCCCAAAATCCGGCCTTCCCCTCCATTCCAAACATTCTTCCAATGACCCACACGCAGATTCTACTGTTCCTGAATGCTTTCCCATTTCTCTCATGACCTCCAAACATAACACTAACATCACTATGAACTTTGATTAAGTTGATATTTACTATGTCTGAGTGGATATGTCATGCTCTCTCACAACTCTATTTCAAAGAGCTGTAAGAACAGAAAATGTATTTTTGACCCTCCTTAACATTACCCCAGAGAGTCTCAATGTTTGCCCTCAAGGAGTTGCTCATATGCTCCAAACATTCCTGTTGTTAGAAATAGCCCTGGGAGTCATAAAAAATGGTATAGACAAAAGTTTTACTTCTGCAAAATGGTGCACTGTGGTAAGTCATGTGGTCGTGTTACTGGGTTTCTATTCCTTATAAAGGGGTCTTGGGTCTTGCTCTGATAAGTCAGAGCCTGGTCTCACATTTCTATGATATTGGCTAACCTAAAGCAGTACGTGCAATTGCTAAGCAAACCACACATTTTGAGAATGGAACACAACCTGGAGCACACACTTTGATCTTTCAAAAAGGTTGACTGGAGGAGGGATTTTGCCAGATGGCATATTACAAATTTCTTTAAAGACGGAACTCCCTTTGTCTCATTTTATCCTTTAGGAGAAAAGACAGTACATTCCATTTGCACTGGGAAGGTCAGTATAGCCTTGATAAAGAATATTTTGTTTTGGTGCTGTCTACCCACCCTTCCAGGGCTGCAATTCTCTAGAACTCCCCTTTAGTGTTTCCTCTCCCATCTGGTCAGCACCACCACTCTTCAGCCATCATTTCCCAAGGCATTCTGCCACTTATCTCAACATATGCCATTATTACAGCTCAGAGCAGGGAGCAAAATCCGCGGCAGATAAAACATAAAACAAGTGTAGTCCAAAACTCAGAACACTACGGCTAATTCATCACGACTTCAGCCTCTGTTTCCAGGCTGACTCCCAAGTCCTCCGTAGAGACTGACAGAAGCTGAACTCCCAAACTCAATTTGGAGCTCCTTCTAACATTAGCAACACACCGGCCCGCCTCACCGAAGAGGCTGCAACCAGCCCCCTCCACGGCGCGCCCCCTCGTGGCTCCCGGTGCCACTTTGTACTTCCTGCCACTGCGACTTGAGAGCGGAAGAGCGGAGAGCCGCATTGGTGTCTAGACGGCGAAGACTTTTCAGACAGGGTGCTGTGTACTGCGCACTTCCATGCCTGAAGAGTCTGCTTCCAGAGCACTGGGAAAGACCGGGGCTGCGTGGAGAGGGCGCGGCCTAGCAGAGAGGTGGAAACGCAACAAGCCGGCGTGGGGCGGGCCGCGGGAGGGGGCGGGGCCGACGCGGCAGGCGTGGGGCGGGGCTCTCGAACCCCAGCCTGCACGCCGGGATTCACCGTGCAACGCCGCGGACGCTTCGGCTCCTGCGGTCTCGTCGGCGTATCCGCGCGCACTCGCGTGTCCCCGGCGTGAACCGGAACCGCTTGCGGAAGTCGCGGCTTGGAGCCGGGCGCTGAACAGGAACGCGGTGGGAGGCTGCCTGCGCGGCCCCGCCCGCCATGGCCGCTGCGGGGTGAGCTCTGCGTGGGGCCGCAGTCGCAGGCTCCTCCGCCTCAAACCAGGGCCTGAGGCCGTAACAGCCGGGGTCGCTGTCTGTCGGTCGCCGTAGTCGCCCGCACGTTGCCGCCGTCCATGGCGCGGCCCCGCCGCCGCCGCCGCTTCTGACCCGGGCCCGGTGCGGTTTCCGCCCTCCACGGGGCGCGGGCGGCCTACCTTTGCGCCCGAGCCTGCGCCCGCGCCCCGGGGCTACCAGCCGGGTGGTCAGCGATGGGGAACACAACTTCGTGCTGCGTGTCGTCCAGCCCCAAGCTCCGGAGGAATGCTCACTCGCGGCTGGAGTCCTACCGCCCGGACACGGATCTCAGCCGCGAGGACACTGGCTGCAATTTGCAGCACATCAGCGACCGGGAAAACATCGACGGTGAGCGGCGCCGGCCTCGGCCTTGGCCTATCCCTCCCTTCTTTGCAGGACTTGGAGCCTTGCGGCTCCGCTGTCCCGGGCTGGGCTGGCAAGGGGGAATGGTGGAAATTTTGCTAGGCATGGCCGGGGACGTCCGGTAGGTCCAGGAAGGGAGTATGGCATGCCTGTGCTGAGATGCGTCTACATGCGTGTGCACCCCGGAGATGACATGGGAGGCCCTAGGCAGTGTGCTTTAGGGATGCTGCCAGAGTTGTTTGCTCTTCCCAAAAGGAAGGGAATTGTGACAGTTTTTTTTTTTTTTAACCTGGACCTTCGTTCCCCCAGACAATTCTACTCTACCCCTTTTCCTATTAAAATCTAAATCAGGTCCAAGGGAGTATGCTTGTGACTGTATATGCACAAATGTATACATAGGTAGTATGCGAGTATATACAGTCCCTCTCACAAACGCATAAATACTTTATGGATATGGTTGCAGGGTTGAAGTAAAAGGTTCTCAGAATGTTTAACCAAACGGCTGTGAGTTAAGTGATCTAATTTTAGCATGGGCTAGAATTACAGTCCTATAAATTTCAGATTCATCTGGGTGGCTTGTGTATTTGAAAAAAAGTTAAAGGAGGCATTATTGCACCAAGTAATGTTCTATCGTAACTTGTTTTGCAGTATCTTTCTTGTTTTGTAATCAAACTCACATTGTATATTGGTCATAAAATACAGTTTATATGATTTCCAACTTAAAAGATTAGAAATTGGAAATACATCTTTAGGCCTTCCCCCCCCCCCCCCCGAAAACCCTCACACAAATAACCTAGTTAAATAGTTAAATTCACTTGTAATTTTTCTTATGTGAATGAATTGATAATTGGTATTGATTCATTCTTGTTGCCTTTGGGATGGAGTATTCCTTGTAATGTGAAAGGCTACTTTTGAGTACTAAAGAAGAGTTTTCTCATTGTCACATTTCTCAGTGTCACATTGTAAGAACAGCAGGTTTATTAAATGCGTAGCATAAGGTTACTCACATAAGGTTTATAGTAAATTCTGATACTATATGATTTTCTAGTGTTATTTAAGGTTTGTGTGTGTGTGTGTGTGTGTGTGCATTCAAGAATGTGTTACCTGTGTGTGGCAGTTGAGGTAAGAGGAAGGTGGTATGTCCTCACGATCTGGAGTTACAGGTGGTTGTGCTGGGATCCTGTCTAGGGTTCTGTGGAAGAACAAGAAACATTCTTAATCACTGAGCCATCTCTCCAGCCCCTCTAGTGTTATTTTATGTATCCATTAGTTTGGTCCTCTCTTTAGGTGATTTTGAACTGCAGCTACACATTTACACATTTTAAAACATGTAGAAGAATATTGAAGTCAGAACTCCTTCTAAACATCATAATAAAACCGTATTTTAAAGGGAGGAGTTCATTGTAGAAGATTGCTACCAGTGTTGACAAGCAAAAAGCGTTAAAGAGTACTTCATTAATTTTATTGTACAGGTTTGCATTAGGCCATTTTCATGCAAGTATGTAATGTATTTTGACCTTATCCTCTCCATCCTTCACTACCCTCGAATTTTTCATGCCTTCCCCTTTTTTATTAATCTCTTTTGTTCCCAAAACAGTTTTGCTTCTTTTTCCTTAACACCCCACCAACATAGCAGCATTTTATATACCTCACCCATAAGTGAGAGAAAACATGAATTATTTGCACTTCTGAGACTTAATTTGTTTAATATAATTATCTCCAGTTGTACCCATTTTACTTCAAAAGCATAATTGCATCTTTATGGCAGAAAAGAATTTCATTGTATATACATTACATTCTCTTTGCCCGTTCCTCAATTAGTGGGCAGTGGTGCAATAAGCAGTGATGTGCTGGTATTTTATGTTTGTTCCCTCCCTCCCTCCCTCCCTCCCTCCTTCCTTCCTTTCTCTTTAACTTTTGAACAAATACCCACCAGAGATACACTGAGTCCTAAGGTAGATCTGTTTTCAGGGATCCCCACACTGACTATGGTGGTCGATCTGTTTTTCAGGGATCCCCACACTGACTATCATAGTCGAGACTAGTTTACGTTCTCACCTTTAGTATATAGAGAGATTCCTTTTATCTGCATGTTCACCAGCGTCTGTTGTTATTTGTTTTCTTAGTAATTGCCATTCTTTTGTGTTTTTTTGTTTTTTGTTTTTCGAGACAGGGTTTCTCTGTATAGCCCTGGCTGTCCTGGAACTCACTCTGTAGACCAGGCTGGCCTCAAACTCAGAAATCCTCCTGCCTCTGCCTCCCAAGTGCTGGGATTAAAGGCATGCACCGCCACTGCCCGGCAATGATTGCCATTCTTATTGAGGTGAGAAGAAGAAAAAAAATCTCATGATTTGTGTTTCCTTAATAGCTAGTGATGTTAAATATATCTTATATTCTTAATTTTTTATCATCATTGTTATTTTTTTGTTTTTGTTTTGGGTTTGTTTTTGTTTGTTTGTTTGTTTGGTTGGTTTTTGTTTGGAGACAGGATCTCTGCATGTGGAACTCAATATGTACACTAGGCTGGCCTCAAACACACTGAGATCTGCCTGCTTCTGCTCCAAAATCTGGGACTAAAGATGTGTATTAACATGTTTGGGGGTCATATATTTGTTGCCAGCTTCTACCTCGTCTTTTTCATCTTTTGAGAGTTGTCTGTTTAATTCATTAGACCACTTTTTGATAAGGTCGTTTAGTTTTTGATCACAAGTGATGAGGTTTCTGAGTTCTTGTACATTCTATATTTAAAACTCTGCGTAATATATATATAGCTGGCAAAGATGTCTCCCATTTGTAAGTTATCTCTTTATGCACTTATTTTCTTGAGTGTTCTCAGATATTTTTTTTTATCTTCATGAAAACACATTTATCAGTTTTTGGTTCTCTATTTTGAGAGACTGGAGTCCTGTTTAGAAGTATTTGCCTATGCTGGAATCTTAAACATTTTTTTTCTACTTTGTCCTTACTAGTTTTATGGTTTCAGGTCTTGAAAATAAGATCTTTGATCTGTTTAGAGTTGTTTTTTTATGTGATGAGACATGGGTTTAGTTTTATTCTTCTTCATGTACTTAGCCAGTTTTGCCAGCAATATACATTGAAGAGCCTGTTTGCTCAAATGTGTATTTTTCTGATTTTGTTAAAAAAATTTTTATGGTTGTATTAGTTTATAATTGGGTTGCCTCTGCTTTTCTTTTGATGTCTAGTGTTCTTCTTATACTAGCTTTATATTGCTTTTCTCATCTTCATTTTAAGTAAGGGTCTTTGTAGCTCTGGCTGTCTTGGAAATCACTAAGAAAATCAAACTGGCCTCAGATTCAGAGAGATCCTCCTGCCTCTGCCTCTTGAGTGCTGGGATTAAAGGCAAGTGCCAATGATACTTTTATTGTAATGTTTTGTAGTACAAGGTGAAGTCAGGTTCAGTGGTAACCTCCAGCATTGTTGTTTTGCTCAGGATTGCTTTTTGTTTACCTGTGAATTTTAAGCTTTTTTTTTTCCCCTTTTCATATTTATGAAGAAGAATCTTGGTGTTGCAATTTTGATGGGAATTTTAACCAATCTGTAGGTTTTTTGATAGCATAGCTGTTTTCATAATATTATTTACTTTATGAGCATGGTATGGTTTCCCATCTTATAGTATCTTCAATTAATTTTTTTTAGTGTTTTAAAGTTTTCACTGTAGAAGTTTACTTTGGCTAGCCCTTATTACAAAGTTTTTGAATTGTGAATGGAATTATTTTTCTGATTTCTTCCTCAACATATTCTTTATTGATATCTAAAAAAGCTAATTTTTGAATATTGATTTTGTGTCCTGTCTCTTTGCTGAAGGTATTTTTATTAGCTCTAATATTTTTCTGGTGGTCTTTTGTGTCTCTTATGCATAGATTATATTGTTTGCCAATAAGATTACTCTGACCTACTTCGTTCCCACTTCTGTCATTTATCTTTCTTTCATCCTATTGCCCTACCTAAAGCTGAAGGAATACTACTGGGTAAGGAATAGACGGACATCTTTGCCTTATTCCTTACTTTATCGGAAATGCTTTCAATCCCCTCCCCGACTAGTACAGTGTTGGGTATGGGTTTGTTATATATGGCTTTTATTATGTTGATAAGTTCCTTGTAGTCCTATTTTCTCCAGAACTTTAATTATGAAGGGTTGCATTTTGCTGAATCGATTGAGGTAATCAATCATGTGATTTCTGTCCCTGCACCAACTTATGTGATATATTACATAACACGTAAGTCATGAATTACACATTAAATCATGAATGAGCTTTGGGATATATTCTTGAATTCTGTTTGCTGAAATATTTTTCCTTTCCTATATTTGGTGGAGGCCTTGTTTTAAATCAGAGAGATTAGAAACACCCCATCCCCTGCCTCCCCCCCCCACAAAAAAAGAGAAAGAAAAAGAAAAATATTCCCATTTCAGACAGCCAAATTGAATATTACTATGCACTATAGTAAAGAAATGGATATAATGGTTGTAATCAGCTGCTTGGCACTAGAGCTTTTTCTTAGTTGTGCTTACTATTGCTGTAAAGAAAATACTAAGACCCAAAGCAACTTAGAAAAGAAAGGGTTTGTTTGACTTTCATATCCTGAATCACAGTCGATTCAGGAAAGCTAAGGCAGGACTTAATGCAGAAGCCATAGAGGTTTGCTACTTACTGGTTTACTCCTCATGGTTTGCTCTCTACTTGCTGGTTTTATGTCTACCTGACACAAGTTAAAGTCATCAGAGAAGGATCCTCAGTTGGGGAAATGCCTCTGTGAGATCCAGCTGTCAGGCATTTTCTCCTCAATTAGTGATCAATGTGGGGAGGGCCCAGCCTAATGTAGGTGGTACCATCCCTGGGCTGGTGCTCCTGGGTTCTATAAGAAAGTGGGCTTAGTACACCTCCATGGTCTCTGCATCAGCTCCTGCCTCTAGGTTCCAGCTATATTTGAATTCTTGTCCTGACTTCCTCCAATGATGAACTATG